AGCCAGAACAGCGCGGCCGGCGGCGCGCCCACAGCCGTTGCCGGGGCCGCCGCCAGCGGCGCGCCGCCAGTTCCCGCCGGCGCGGCGGCGGCGGCGGCGGCAGCGGCGTCAGCTGCGCGCGCGGGGACGGGCGCCGGAACGGGCACGGCGCCCCGTACCAGAAGCACCTGCGACTCCAGGGTCCCAGAGTCCACCGCGACCCCGCCGCCGCCGCTGCCGGGCGGGAGCGCCGCAAAAGTGGTGGATCCTGCGTGGACATCCCACAGCAGCTCCGCCTCGGGGCACGGGTCCCGCGCCGGCGCCTGCTGCGGCGCCGCCCACATCGACGCCGAGGCCGCGGCCGCGGCCGCCGCGGCCGCGCCCCCTGCGGCGGCGGGCCGCGGGTCGCCGCCGGCCGCGCTGTCCGGCGTCCACAGCAACCGCAGCCGCGTCCGGCCCTCGTCGACCCGCCAAGCGAGCTGCAGGCTGCCGCGCCGCCGGTCCGGCACGCACCGCACGCGCCCGCGCCCGCTCCCCGCCGCCGCTGCCCCGTCCTCTGCAGCAGCCGCCAACCCCTCATCCTGCCCATCATCCGCCGCTGCCGCTGCCGCCGCCGCGGTGCCCTCCTCAGCTGCAGCGCCGCCGCTGCCGCTGCAGGCGCCTGGTTGGGACGACGCACGTATGATGCCGGCTGGGAGGATGTATAGGACGCGCCACGGCTGCCCTACGTGATACAGGATGGCCATGACCCTGGCCTGCACGCTGCTGGCCATGGGCGCCAATATCTGCGCCGCAGGAGTGGGGGGGCGGGGCGTACGGCAGCGTCAAGGGTGCCGCAAAGGAGGGCCGCGGCGCCGCCATGGGGCTGCCGGTGCACGGGCCGCGGCTGGAGACCCGCAGGGAGCTGCTGCGCGGCTTCTACTCGGAACCAACCAGGCGCCACGCGAGCCGAGGTGTCGCGCGCGGCGGCGCGCCTGATCATATCACGCTGTCAGGTCGCACCTTGGCGGGGTTGGCATATGAGGGGAGCCACGAGTGCATGAATCCGTCGTGGGACAGGTGGTGCAGGGAGTCCAGGCTCTCGTGGCGGCACCTGCAAGGCCGCAGCGCGCGCGACGAGAAGAGCGACGGACCCAGCAGCCGCTGCCGCAGCCGCGTCGCGAGCCGCGCGGCGCTGGACGGGTGGGGGTGGTGGTGCGCCACCCCTGTAGCGGCGGGGCCACCGAGCTGGTGCGGCGCAGCTGCAGCTGGCCGCGCGGCCGCGTCGCCGCCGGCGGGGCCGGCGTGGCCGCGGGCGCGCGCCGGGCCGGGGTGGTCGGGCGTCTGCGGGCGCGGCGTAGTGCGCAGGCGGCGGCGCGCGTCCCCACAGGAGTTGGAGCTAGACCCCGGCGCGGACATGAGTCGGCATGCAGAGGCCGCAACACAGGGCGCGGCGGCCGCGCATTCGCAGGCAAGGCAAGCGGTGCGGCACATATCTGCGGTATGCGGCTGGAGCGGGCGGCCTTCAGCAAGACAAAGATGTCGAACGCACCTCGGGTTCAGCCCCTCCGCCCAGCTGCTCATAAGTCGGCAGCTCCAGCAACTCCATCAGCAGCTCCACCTGCTGCCACATCAGCAGGCTCGGGGGCGCCGTCCCAAAGTCCACCAGCCGAGCGCGCACGTGGCGCCGCCGCTGGGGCCTCTGGTGCTGGGGCTGCTGCAAGTGCCGCCGCCGCGGCACGGGCGTCGCGGCGGCCGCGTCGTGCGGCGCCCCCGCGCCGGCGCTGCTGCTGCTGCTGCTGCTACTGCTGCAGCTGTTGCTGCAACACGGGATGTGCGCATCCTCTGCCGGTGCGCTGCCAAGAGCGCTGCCGATCCTGCTGCATCCGCTGGTACACGTGCTGCTGCTGCTGCTGCTGCTGCCGCTGCCGCCGCTGTGGTTGCTCGCCCTGGGCCCTTTGTCAGTGCTGGAGCCGTTGAGGGCGTCCACGATGTGCCGCAGGCAGCGCATGGATGCCGCATCCACCTCTTCACTTGCACCTCCTAACAACACAATGTCCAGCCCGATCACGCCGCCGTCGCACCCGCCCGTGCCGGCCACGGCATTGAACGCGGCGACCGCGGCTCCCGCTTCGGCGTCGCGGACGCGCACGCCGCTGTTCACAAACACCACGACGCGCCCCGCCTCGGGCGACTGCCGTTGTGGGCGGGGCTGCTGCTGCTGCTGCTGCTGCTGATGTCGCTGCTGCTGCTGCTGCAGCGGCTGCGCCGTGCCGACGCGTTGGCGGCACAGCAGCAGCGCGAGCCGCAGTGCGGGCAGGAGCTCGAACGAGTCGCCTGCGGTCGCAGATCCGTGCTGCCAGGGGTCGGCGAACAGCAGGCCGCCATCTTCAGCGCCCGGCGGCACCAGCACGCGCGGGGCGCGCCCCGCGCATATCACCGCTGCGTCGTCGGGCGCGTGCGGCAGCGCGAGCGCGGCGCGGCTGACGGCGCGCACGCAGCTCAGTGCGAAGCGGCCGCGGTTGGGAGACAGGTCCTCGGAGCGGGCGTCCTCGCTGGTGTCAATCACATACACCCAAAGGCCCGAGGATGCACCGCCGCCGAGCAGCATCGCGCCAGCACTGCGCGCCCGACCAGAGTGCCGCTGCTCAGAATTCGGCGGGCTGCCCCTGGCAGGGCTCCTGTTCGGCTGCTTTGTAATGCCCTCCTCTGCTGGCATGGACTTCCTATCAAAGGGCGTTCGACCAGCGGAGCACCCCACCAAGCCACTGCCTGGCTGGTCGGGCCTCGACCCAGTCGAGAGCGCTATCACCGATGACAACTAGGGCACTGCTCTGCTTATAGCTTTCTACCGGGCTTGCACCGCGCCCTAGAATCCCCGGTGGGCCCTCTCCGATGCCACGGTCACTGCCGCACCAATGATGAACTTTGTTGCAACAACAATCATCGTGTTATCGGTATACGCAGCAGTTCCGATGTGGGAGAGGCGCCGAGGGCATGGTGATAGATAGATCATTGTCAGGATCACGCAGTGCTGCGAAGCACGGTTGAAAATCAGTCATAAAGGCCATCCATCGCCTCAGCTGCAGTCCTCGAGGATATCATACCAAGGAAGCCGCCTCACTGTGCAGGTCAAATCCCTTGTGATCGAGTCAATGCGACGACGCACAAATGCAAGATGTGTGTTGGCTCCATGATCCCTGAGCGAAGTAAGCAAGATATGAACCGTTGTTTGAACCAATGTGGCGCCCGCGGGCTACACGCGTGTCCGTGTCCAGCCCACCGCCCCAGCCCAACCAGAGGTGTTGATGATCAGCCGATTAGGCAAGCACAGCTGCGGGCGAGGCACAGCTGCTGACCCCCTGAATGCAGCAGCCTGTTTTGTGGCAGGAAACTTGGCTCATCCGGTCATTGCAACCTGATGCGGTGTGCCAGGCATCGCCCGGGACTCGAAATATGTGTGTCGGCGCAGCAGTCGGTGTTGACCGCAAGACCACATGACAACCACAGGACCGTGGAGGGCTCACGGCTGGGCGCGCCATCCGCCAATCCAAGGACTGTGCAGCTCAGGATTCATCATCCAGCATTTGACAAGTCCATGGAGGCCCAGCAGGAGCACCTACCGATTCGCACCTCCAACGAGCGCCGGCTGCATCTGCACATTCGCCACGAGCAATCGTCCTTCGCAGCTCACTGCGGACACCTTATCTGATGACAAAATGGTATGTAGATCGGAACTCGTGAGTCATTCACATCGACGGGTGGGTGTGACGTACGAGCCGCGTCAGACGATGCGGCTTTCGGGCTTCAGGGTCGACAATGGCTTGCTTATAGTGCATAGCAGACCTTGCTGACGCAAACCACGCAGTTTGAAACCACGCACATTTGCAGAACACACAACCACCCTTTTCACCGTGCCTTCATTGCAGCTGAAAGTATGATCTCTGTCGCCAACCGCTCCTCGGCGCTGCAAAGCCGCGCCGCCGGCTCGCGCGCGGTCCCGGCTTTCGCCGCCCGCCGCGCTGTCCGCGTGCAGGCAGTGCCCGATCCTGCTCGGGTGCGGCCGTCTGCCTGCAAATCCCAACCCTGGCCGCCCGTTGCGACCGGGTCTGCCGACGCCGCCACTGCCCTTTTGCGGCCAGCAATGTTGCAGACTGGGCCCGTTGATGTCGCCACTGCCCGGACCCCCCCCATTGTCAAGCTGCTGCCTGCTCCTCACCTCAATGGCCCCTCTCATCGCCCTGCATCCATCGCTGTATGCAGAGTGACCAGGCCGGGGGCGAGAACGCCACCAAGGACCTGAGTGACGTCAGTGCGGTGAGCGGGCACACTCGCTGCTCCCGACGCACTGACGGCTGCGGCCCAGATTGCAATGAACCGTCGTGGCCGTCCACACCTGTCGCGTGGGGTCTGCCTCACCCAGGGGTCTCCATTATGTTATGATACGGGTACGCTATGATGAATGCAGCCTGCACGACCATTACGGGTACGCTATGATGAATGCAGCCTGCACGACCATTGCCGGTGCTGTCGCCCGCTCACGTCTCGTGCCCTCACGCGTCGCGACGACCATCTCGTCTCGCACCCGCAGCCCACCTCCCTGAAAGATGTCGGGCCCGCCATCCGCGAGGCCGCCCCCGTGATGGCGCCAGCCTTCGAGGCCCCCCTCCTGCTGCCGACCTTCAGCCGCCGCCGCGAGATCTTCGCCGGCCGCCTCGCCATCGTTGGCTTCGCCTCCGTCGCTGCGTGGGAGGTGCGCGCGGGTGGGGCAGGAAATAAAGGCTGCCCCAGGTCGACCGTATGCAGTATTTGCTCAAAGAGAGGTGCTTTCGTGTTGTGCGTCCCTCTGAGATGTCATTCCTGCCTGCACAAAGCATAAGGGGGAGTCAATCCTGCAATGTCCTTGCGTGCTCACTCGCCATAGTGCTCATCCATCCTGCCGCACCTTGCGTGGCCCTGCCCCAACCGCTTGCTGTGTGCGCTCACAGATCGCGACGCCTGGCCACCCTGGCCTGCTGAGCATAACCTCCTCCCTCACAGGCTGGTGAGTGCGCGGAGCTGGGGATAAAACATATCACTGCTTTTGGTTAGGGGAAATACAGGCCCATCACTTGCTTGCGGCGTCTGCAAGAATAAAACAGCTTTGAACAGATGTGCTGCATGCAACAGATGTGGGACCAGTCGCCCATGCCCATGCAGCAGCAATTGATTTCCGTGCATGTCGCTTCTTTTTGGTGCTGTACCGTTTTCCATTCCCTGTGGATGCATCCACTTTCGCAGGTCCCTCCCCCTCACCAAGCTGGTGTACTCTGGCCTCATTGCCCACGGCCTCCTGGGCCTGCTATGGCCCGGCAGCCCCACTTACTCCAGCGCCAACAAGCGTGACTACGCCAGGTGCGCTGGCTCGTGCGGGCCTGCCAGTGCCATGCTGTCCGTACACACCTCGACGCTGAGCAAGAAGGGTCCATGTATGCAAGGGCTTGATACCTGCTTGTGTGCGGCAATCGAGGGTGCATGTATAGCTGGCAGGGCTAACCAGCTGATGCTGAATTAGGGTGGCTGTGGTGTGGTGGGGTGGATGAATTGTTCAGAGTCGTGCACCTGTTACGGTTGCCTGCACGTTCGCCCCCTTGGTATGCAGGCGCCCCGAGGGCCCCCCGACCGCGGCGGTGAACCCGTTCACCAACCCCCAGAAGTTCTTTGGCACCAGCTCCTTCTGGGGCTACACCAAGAAGAACGAGGTGCGCCACCAGCGATGCATTCCTTTGTCATTGCAACTCGTGTCCTGGTTATGTTACGCAGCAGAATGGAGTATCCAACACACGCATGTGAGGCGACACCAGTATGTGGTGTGGTGCTAGCGCAATCTTACCCCAGCTGTTATCCATACCTTTGTCCGCAGCTCTTTGTGGGCCGTATGTCCATGATTGGCTTCTTCATGGGCCTCATCAACGAGATGCAGAGCGGGCTGGGCCCTATCGGTCAGGTGCGTGTTGACTCTGGCGGGGCTTGAGGTAGTTGGTGCGATGCGTGAGACTTGGGCAGTAGAAGGTGTGTGCTTGGGGGTGTGCAACACAGATGTGTGTCCTCCGGTATTGTGAAACGTTAGTAATACGTGCCAATTTATGTTATGAAATTGTTGTATTCTCCTTCATTTTGCAGGTATCGTGGTGGCTAGGCAACCCCACCCCCAGCGATGAGTTCTACAGCAAGGCCAAGGTGGCTATTCTAGGCTTTGCCGCCCTGGTTACTGTCATTGGCTACGCCACAGGCCGTGCAGGCACTGTGGAGGGAGGTGAGCACAATTGTGGTTCATCAAATAATGTTGGGGTTCAAGTTGAATCACTTGAATCGATCGATCATGACTCAGATGGAAGGTGACTCACATTTAAGCAACGCGCAACTAAGATTGATCCCCTTGCTCCCGTGCACATCTCACCCTGCAGAGGAGGATATCTTCTAAACAACATCAGTTGCAGTATGTGTCGACGAGGAAGAGGTGTGTTGCAGTAGGTCTGCACAAGAAAATATGTGCTGTTTCGCTTATGCGCTTCTAATGCATGAGTTATTTGATACTGTGTGGTATAAGGAGTAGTGGGCAGGTTCTTGTTTTGTGTACGCTTTTCTGAATATGGCTGGTTTTGCAAGCCAATGTACATGTATGTATATGTATTGTTTGTTAGAATAGTAGCCCTTTGGTGTAACCGACTGTATGTGAACAACTCCTACATCTGATGTCATTTTGCATGCCTGACTGTATGTGACAAACACTGTGGTGTAGTGTTGATGCTGAAGAGTATACGCAACAGTTACCATCACCGTTGAACATAAAATGTCATGACAGTGGGAAATTTAACTCTGCAGTGTCGCATGTCGTGACAAATGTTTTCCAACTATCACAACTGTGAAAACAACCTACCCTCAACCTTGCAAGCCTGCAACATTGAACATAAAATGTCATGACAGTGGGAAATTTAACTCTGCAGTGTCGCATGTCGTGACAAATGTTTTCCAACTATCACAACTGTGAAAACAACCTACCCTCAACCTTGCAAGCCTGCAACACTGGCAGATCTGTGGGGTAAATCATAGATATCCACGCCGTGTGCCCAATGATTGAGCATGTAAAACCATGGCCACCACATAGTAGAATAAGAAAAATTTGCATGCTGTTTGTTTGCTTGCGCATGGAAAAGCTGTCGATGTTGGGCAGTGCACCAATAATGATGTTCATTTTGCAATGTGAAAGTGAAGACTATTGTGAAAATATATGCGTATGGTGTCACCTACAAGCTTGCAAGCGCTCAGTGTCGTGAGTTGGTCTTCTGGTGTTGCATACTCATGACCTGAGTGACTGCACAGTAACGTTGACCAGGTCTCCATCCTCGGGTGGTGGTGGCGTCGACTTCATCAGCAACACTTCACCATAGGATGCCGCTCAGCACGCAGCAATTGGGATATTTCATGTCTGGATGGAGCTGGTGAGAGCACCGTCGCTAGGCGAATCGTGCCTGCCGGCGAGCTGTGGCTGCAGATTGCATGCTGGCCACAAGCCCGCCGCACCCTCTCGTCCATTCCCTGCGTGCTCCAGAGCCACTTGGATATTTTTTAGCGCGGCTAATTTCACCGTTGTATATGCTCATGATCCTGGCGTTACTAGGAGTGTTGACGCAATCCGCGTCAGGTTGAGACATTCTTTTGCGCGGCTTTCGGGCTTCAGGGTCGACTGCGGGTTGCTTATATGCCCGAAGCAGCCTTACATTGGCACAACACGAATCATACCTGAAATCTACAACCACGATCACCCAAGTGAACCCCTTTCCTCTCAATTTGACGTCGACGTCGCCAAGATGATCTCCGCCGTCAACCGCCCCACCGCCCTTGCGCGCGGCACCGCCCGCCCCCGCGCGGGCGTTGCTGCCGTGGGCCTTGGCGCTCGCCGTGTCGTCCGTGTGCAGGCGCTGCCCGATCCCTCGCGGGTGGGTGTGCATTGGGGGGGGGTGTGCGTGAGGGTGAGCCCGCCCGCACGATGCCCGCGTGGGATGTGATGCGTGCGATTGCGTTTCCTGTGTGCTGCCACCTCACAAAAAACCCTGTGCCTATTTGCAGAGCGACGAGGCTTTTGGTGAGGGCAAGACTAAGGACCTGACTGATGTCAAGCCGGTGAGCAGGCTGCTGTACGCATGTGTAGGCGGGACGCAAAATTGGACGGGGCTGTGCAGCAGACGGCTCCGCAACCCAACCAGCTGATGTGCCACCTGCACTCATCTTAATAGGCGCCTGCCAGCTCAGCAGCTGCACGTATTTGCATGCAGCTGCCGGCCTGATTTGACGGCTCCCCTTGCGACCCGTCCACCCCGCCCCGCAGCCGGCTTCCGTCAAGGACATCGGCCCTGCTGTCCGCGAGGCCGCCCCCGTGATGGCGCCAGCCTTTGAGGCCCCCCTCCTGCTGCCCACTTTCAGCCGCCGCCGCGAGATCTTCGCCGGCCGCCTCGCCATCGTCGGCTTCGCCGCCGTCGCCGCGTGGGAGGTGTGTTTCTGGGCCTTGCAATTTGATCTTTGCCTGTTGGATGGTCGAGCGCTGAGGGACAGGCAGGTGTTGGTTGCTTCCTTTGCGGGAATGAGGTAGTGCATGGGCCTGGTGGTGCATTCCCCATGTCGGTTTCCTGCATGATGGTGCGCAGACTGGTGTGGTGTGTGTCGTGTTTTGAGAGACAATTCTCCCTCTGCCCCCACCCGGCTGCAGATCCTGACCCCAAGCCACCCCGGCATCCTGAACATCACCTCCTCCCTCACCGGTTGGTGAGTGTGTGGTGCAGTCAATTCCATTTTTGGCCTGTGCAACTTGGTGCCTTGCGGACAGGGTTGTTGCTGTTTGATGAGACCACAACATCAAAACCTCTCCAAGCTATCTCCTCAATGCTCCTCTCACACGCACCACCTGAATCACTTGCAATTTATTTCAGGTCTCTGGCCACCACCAAGCTGGTGTACTCTGCGTTTATCGGTCACGGTCTGCTGGGCCTGATCTGGCCTGGCTCGCCCACCTACTCCAGGGCTAACATCAACGACTACAACAAGTGCGTAGCTGGATGGATAGGTTATTGCTCGCAATGTGCCACTTGTCATAAAGTAGAATGAGTTGACTGTGTTTATGTTTTGTTACAGTGGAGGTGTGATGTGTACGCGAAACACAAGTGCGTCTCCCCAGCACGTGTACCTCCCCCAAAATCTTTGTTATCTGCCAGGCGCCCCGAGGGCCCCCCGACTGCGGCGGTGAACCCGTTCACCAACCCCCAGAGGTTCTTTGGCACCAGCTCCTTCTGGGGCTACACCAAGAAGAATGAGGTGAGTTGTGCAATTCTAATATGTATGCCGCATAAGGTGGTTGTAAAGGTTGACAGGTTCTCTGCAATGGGTGTGTGTAATATATGTGGAATAGCTATGAGAATGGTGGTACACTGTGAAAATTTCATGCATGTTGAAATGCTGTCTAATACCTCCCACTCATTTGCTGTGCTTGCAGCTGTTCGTGGGCCGTATGTCCATGATTGGCTTCTTCATGGGCCTTGTCAACGAGATGCAGAGCGGCCTGGGTCCCATCGGTCAGGTGGGTTTGTGGACTGTTAGCGATGAGTCTGCATGTATAATTGCCCTTTTGATATCTTGTGAATGTGTGTACAAGTGCGGTGTACTTGCTGACAATCTGAATGTTGCAGGCAGTAGCCAACAACCTGAATGTTGCAGGCAGTAGCCAACGAGCAAACCCTCTGCACTCGGACAGGTGTCATGGTGGCTGGGCAACAACTCACCCACCGATGAGTTCTACAGCAAGGCTGCTATGGCCATCCTGGGCTTTGCTGCCCTGGTCACCATCATCGGCTATGGCTCAGGCCGTGCCGGTACTGTTGAGGGTGGTGAGTCAAATGCGTGATGATGTTATGTGTTGCCCAACGTCACGCACAGCTGTATGTATGAAAGTTGACGTTGCAACTGTGACTCTGTATATTGTTACAAAAGTTCTCCTACTCTCATCATTGTCCCTCACAATAACCTGTCAAACATCTCTCACCATCTTCCTCTTGCTTGCAGAGGAGGAGATCTTCTAAACTGCATTGCAACTCTGGTCTGTGGAAAAGGCATTGCAATGTTATGTCTGAACCATGGCTGCTTGGATTTTTTGTGAACTGTACACCAGCTCTCATATGTGCACATTTTGCAGTGTGAGGAGTGAGAGTGTAGAGAAGAGGTGAAAGTTTTGCTCTCTGTGTACGTTGCTGTGAATTGGGCACAGCTGCACATCGTGTAACAAATATGCTTTGACATTCTGAAATCTTAAACAATTGAATTGAAATTATAATTGATAAGAGATATGTGTCCCCAACATACGTTGATCGTTGAAATGGGCAGAACTGTTCACTTGAACAATTAAAATGGTACTCCAATCCCATATTGATTCATCAATCAGCGCTGACCACCATTATACAATGTTATATAGCATAAAATACAAAGTTTTTTTTGTATGATACCATACTTATGCAGCAATTATCCACCGTTACGTTTGGTGCTCACACCCTCATGCTTTTGTACATCGATTTGATAATTATCATCACTCGCTATCTGGCATCAAGCCGGCCGTACTACGCGGCTCCCCCTCTGTTCAAGCATCACCCACCACTTACTACCATTGCATGGCCTACGCCATGACAACTTAACATACCCTGCTGTCATGCGTGCATATGCAAATCTGCGCGGCAATCTGGGCCTTGCATTCCTGTTAACCCAGCCAGCACGAAGATGGCATTTGCACATATGTGCCCACTGCATGCCAACGCTCACAAAAGGCAGTCTTGCATGCCTGCTGTCAACGGCGTGCACTGTGGCACCCTCAACCTCACACAATGTCGACGCAGAAAAGTTTAGCCACATGATGAGTGTAGACTGGTGTAGAAATTGGCGACTGCGAGGCGCTGTAACAATCCAATACTAGATACACACACCAGCTACAATTGCACGGCTCTGGCCTGCCGGTGCGGTGGCACATCTCAACTGCAAGCTGTTTGGCGGCTGACGCACTTTGCTTGGTGAAATCAAGTACAGGCAATGTGAGACTCTGCAGCGTTGGTTGTTGGTGCAGACAGTCTAATGTTCTCTGGGGTGATTGGGTGAAACACGTCTTGAGCCCGCTCTGGTGCTGATAGGTGGCCACCCACCTCAACCGCTCCCATGGGAACGGATGAGCACGCGCTTCGGGTGCTTGCAACGACAATATTAGGAATAAAGGAGGAAAAGCATGATTCTGGTGCTGATAGGTGGCCACCCACCTCAACCGCTCCCATGGGAACGGATGAGCACGCGCTTCGGGTGCTTGCAACGACAATATTAGGAATAAAGGAGGAAAAGCATGATTCTGGATGAAGGGTGCAACCTACAGCTGTGCCCCCAGCAAATCCAATGGTTTGTATGCTTGCATCAAGTGACTGGTTGGGACGGCGGTGCTGGGCGAATCACGGCTCTGTCCGCTAAAGCAGCTGGGCACCAGGCCAGCCTCAAAGATGCGTCGACATCGTGTTGCCAACGCTTGGGAGCAGAGATGGTCCAACTTACATCAATGGTTCAATTGAGCCTCATATTCAGCGTTATCACGGTGAGCGTTGACGCAACCAGCGCCAAGTTCACATTTTCGTGCGGCGTTCTGACTTCGAGGTCGACCGCAGCTTGCTTATAGCACCAGGAAACTCGCTCATTGGCACAAAAAAGCACGCTTAGAACTCGTACACCCGCTAAAACTCAGTGAACGCCCTCTTCTCCTGCTGTGACTACATCGCTGACACCATGATCACCGCTGTCAACCGCCCCGCCGTCCGCACGGTCCGCGCCGCCGCACCAGGTGCCGGCACCGCGGCCGTGCGTTTTGGTGCCCGCCGCGTGGTCCGCGTGCAGGCTTCGCCCGATCCCCCCAAGGTGCGCCGCGGCAAGCGCATGCGCGCACTGCCCGTGCCCCCCAGACGCGGGCCGCCCCCAGCCCTGCGTTGGTCATGACGTCACGCGCCCCATCTCAGTCTCCTCCCTCAATACCTTGGGACACTGCATATCCTTCTCACAGAGTGCCGCCTCTGAGAATGCGGGCGAGCGCGTCGTCAAGGACATCAGTGACTCCCGGGTGGTGAGTTTTATGTGCCTGGTTGCTTGGCAGGGATGGGGTCCGTGGGGATTGCAAACCCCACACACAGCTGGTCAAGTGCCTGCGCAAGCGCCGTGCAGTTTGCTGCGCCTGAATTGAGTCGGACGGTATCCTCATGCGGCTGGTGCTCCTGCAAAACAGCCAAGGTTTACGTCTAGATTTGTGCTGCAACCGGCTGACCTCGCCCCTGCGTTGCCCTGGCGCACTGCCCCTGCAGCCTACCTCCGCACAAGACGTCGGCCCGGCGCTCTTTGAGGCGCAGCCCCACATGGCCTCCCACTACAAGGCGCCCAACTGGCTGCCCGCCTTCACCCGCCGCCGCGAGATCTTCGCGGGGCGCCTGGCCATCCTGGGCTTTGCTGCCGCCTGCGCTTTTGAGGTGTGTGCACGAGTGCTTGTTCAGAAACAAATGCTTGTTTTGTTGTGCCTGCTGTTATTCTGTTGGCGCATTCAGCCTGCTGTCTTGCTTCATGAGTTGGGTTTTTGCACGCTCACCATCAACTCATCTCCCAACTCCTGCTTTGTGCACGCAGGTCCTCACCCCAGACCACCTCGGCCCCATGGGCCTTACCTCGGCTCTCACCGGCTGGTGAGCGGACGGAGGGGATTGGTGTATTGATTGGTCAGGAATGCAGTGGTTGTTTAGGCGTTCGGTTGGTCCTGCGTGCCATGCAAGATGACACCTGCAACTTGGTGATAACACCCGTGCAGGTCGATCCCCACCGTCCAGCTGCTCTACACCGCGTTTGTGGGCCATGGCCTGCTGGCGCTGACCTGGCCAGGCAGCCCCACATTCGCAGATGCTAACATCCAGGACTACATGAAGTGCGTTGGGTGATGCGTTCTGCTTGTATCTGGGCACTCACTCCCCCATGGTGGAGTGCGCTGGTGTAATGTACTTGACATGCACGTATATTGTTGTGAAGTGGTGACCCAGTAGTCTCTCTGTGACACGAGAGGTGCACACCTGCCGATCATCCACCCAGGCGTCCCGAGGGTCCTCCCACCCTGTCTGTGAACCCGTTCGCCAACCCCGCCAAGTTCCTCGGTTGCAGGTGAGGAGTGAGCGGATGTGTGTGACCGTATGCTGTTCATGCATGTGTGTTTCTAGGAATAGGGCAGGTATCCTTCCTGTCTACGGCACTAATCAGTCAATATATCCATTTTCAACCCGCACCTGTGCAGCCCCCACTTTGGCTTCACCAAGAAGAATGAGGCAAGTGGATGTTTACATTGCAACAATGAGATATATGTATTTTGCTTCGTGCAAGTTGTCATTTTGTGTGAGCGAAGGAGGGAGTATGTGTGATTGATGATAGTATTGACCACTAATAATGATACCAACTCTCTGATCAATCTGGTGCACACCCACAGTTGTTCCAGGGTCGTCTGACTATGCTGGGCTTTCTCGCGGCGGTGATGAACGAGACGCAGACTGGTCTTGGCCCCATTGGCCAGGTGAGACATGAACAGAATCGTGCAATTGAGATTGTTGATATTCTGATAAGTTTGTGCGATATGTACATCAAGATAGTATGGTTATCACACTCTCAACACGCATTGGTACAACCCACCCATATGACTTGCAGGTGGCATTTGCACTCGGCAACATCAACCCCAGCGATGAGCTGTACCGTACGGTCGGGCTGTGGATTGTGGCATGGGGCATTCTGGTCACCGGCATTGCATACGCCTCTGGACACGCCGGTACTGCTCTGGGTGGTGAGTAGTGGGATTCTGGTCACCGGCATTGCATACGCCTCTGGACACGCCGGTACTGCTCTGGGTGGTGAGTAGTGGGATTATGCAGACATTAATCTTTACACAAAGCTGCTTACGGGGCATGCGAGCATTGTCTGTGACAAGGAGGTGTGAGTCTGTTGGCTAATAAACGGTTGTACACTGATTTAGACCACAATGTTATTACTCCCTCTCATTTTCAATCTATCTCTGCTTCTACCTCTCCTTTTCCTCCTTTTCCCCGCATTACAGAGGAAGACATCTTCTAAATCTGCTGAACAAGCAAACAGAATTATGATTGAAAATGCTGAGGGTGCTGTGAGGGAATTGTATGCGTAGTTTTTGAGAATGATTCAACTCTGTATGTAGTAAGCATGGTGTGTGTGTATTATGTTATGTTGTGTGTATATGTATATGTGCCGTGAGTAATTGTGATAGTTGCAATTGATTCACGATTTGAATCAGTTAAGGTTTTCCAGTTTTGATAATGCTTCAATTGGAGCACAGTGTTGTGAATGTGGTATTTTGCCCACGTGTTGTTTTGTACCATTGTAATCTTACTGAAACACATACATTCAAGTATCTTACAGTGACGATCAGATGTATAGTCTTATATACCTACCCACACATGCAAGATGCGCAGGTGAACACACGCTTGTCCCACACAAACTGCTATCACGAAAAAATATTTCCACAGCAACATTACAAATTTTGCATATTGTCAAGCATAAGCATATAGGATCACATCAATTTGTGAGAAATCACTACTTATTGATGCACACCATGACTTTGCCTGTACACCTAAACATTCATTTACCCCCACTCCTAGCTGCTCCACCCGCAGCAGCGCTGCCACCCTCGCCGCCCCCGCCAATAACCCGCCGGGCTGCCCGCCGCCGCTCCTCCTGAGCCATCTGCCGCCGTAACTTCCCCCTTGGATCTGGGTCCTGCGCCCCAATAGAGATTTGTGAGGGGGAAAGGTGACCGGTCAAGTATCAGTGTATTAACCTCCTCTCTGTTGCCCACAAGATCGTACCAGCCTGCGCCATTGCATCCCCTCTTCCCTCCCTGCGCGGCACCATGTTTGGATCAACAAAAAGCACCCTTCCACTCCCTGGATTATTGGTACCAGGCGTGTACCACGTCCTGCCTTCACGTCTTGTGAACGCTAAATTTGCTCGCGCCTTCAGCGCAAGCCGCAAAACCGGCTGCTGTGGTGTGCACCCTCACCCCCGCGCCCACGCACACACAGGGGGCAGCCAGCGGGACCTTGAAGGGACGAGGGCCCCGGCTCACGTCTGTCGCATACAACTCCTCCAGGGACGCCCCCACCCCCAGATACCGCGCCTTGCGCAGCCACTCCTGCGCCATGGCCATGCTGCGCTGGCAGCCCTAGAGAGTCCGATGGGGAGGTAGGCATGTGAGCTTGGAGATGCAGGCCATGCCTGACGCGGCCGGCGCGGCGTGGCAACGCCGCTGCATCGCACGTCAGCGCGGCACAGCGGCGGCGCACGACTGCGGAGTCCCCAACATGGCCCTTCAAAGCGCTACTGCTGGCTGAGGTGCGCTGACTGTCAGGCCCCGGCGCAGGGTCAAGTGCCTCGCAACTCAGGAGGGGAGCTTCTAGGTGGATGCTGACCTGTCCGTGGAGGTACATCTTGGCCAGCCGCAGCATCGCGTTGGGGTCCCCATCGCGCGAGTTCTAGCAATGCAGTGTGTGTGTGTGTGTGTGTTTGCGGGGGGTGGGGGGGGAGGGTGGGAGAGAGAGAGAGTGCGTGTGTATGTGTATGTGTGTGTGTGTGTGTGTGTGTGTGTGTGTTCGCGCAAGCGTGCGTGAGTGGGTGGTGAGATGTGCGTGCATTTGCCTGTGATTGTCGTGTATGCCTTTTTGCGTGTGCTTGCGTGTGCGTTTTGCCCGGCCGTTGCTCTTGCCCAGAACATGACATGTTCTGACGCGCCACGCGGCGCCCTCAGACCTGCCCACCTCCAATTCCTCGACAAACCACTGCCGCTCTTTGAACCGTACGAGGTCCTGCAGCGGTATGCGCCCCTGCTGCCTGGTGGCGGGGGTCGGACGGGTCCAAGGTTGGGTTGCGGCCTCACGGGATCGCGTCAGCGAGTATGCGGCTGCGCGTGGTATAATTCGCGGCGCTGCAAGGCAAAGACTTGCGCGCTCGTATAGGGGGGACCGCGGCGGGGCGGCGCCTCACCCTCTGAGGGATGCGCGGCGACGCTGCCGCCGCCGCCGGTGTTGCCGTAGCCCCAAAGCGCTGGCGGCCACCACCAGGGTAAAGGAGCACGCAGAAAGCACCGCAGCCGCTAGCCGCGGTCTCCGTCGCCACCATGGCTGCGTTGCGCCAGGTTCGTCGGCTTTCCGTCCGCTTGTGCTAGGTGCGCCACTGCGGCTGCTGCTGCTCCCGCCGTCGTCTGCATCGCCCAGCACGTCTGACGCTTCGTTGATGTCCTCATGTTTTTGTGGCATCTTCAAAGTGCCAATAACTATACCTGTAGCCGTGCCGGCTGCGAGGACAGCGAACATACAAGCTGCAGATCTAGATCAATACGTACAGCGCGTGTTTTACGCATATCCTTCAGTGTAGTTGTTTATCAATATCAAGCTGCATTCAAGAAACACCGAAACAAACACCATACGTCGATCCACCGCACAGTCCTTGTTGAACTGTTGTTTGCGCGGCTTTGCGTGTCCCGTGACAGCCGACAGAAAAACTGGCTGAACCAATAGCACATAATCAATCAGACGTGTGCTCGCTCTTTGCGTAGCTCCTGCGGGCAGAACACTCATTTTTTGCCGCAGTGCTGTAGTCGTGCTGTCGTCGACCGAGCGCGCTGCCGCGGCGGCCCGCGCCGGCGGCATGCGGGCGGGGACCCTGGCGCGGCAGGTGGTTGCGGGGGCGCCTTGAGCGCACTGGGAAGGCAGCCACGGCGCTCATGGAGGCGGAGTTTGAACCCGCGGCCGCACCCGGCCATGTTTCTCGCGGGCGGCTGCTGGGGCCTGGCAGTGTGCTCGCGCGCCGCATCGAGCAGCAGCAAGCCGCGGCCGCGGCAACGGCTGCGGCGCGGCGGCGGCGGCGCGACGGACATCTTCTCGGCGAACCCGGCAGCGGCGACGCCGGGGGCGGCGCGGACGGCGGGGCCGCGGAGGATTCGGAAGCGGAGCGGGCAGTGCTGACGTGGCCGGAGCTATGGGATGCCCGGGCCCTCGCCTCGAACCTCGCCTCGGCGCCGTCGCTCGACGGCGCCGCGCGCCGCGCGCGCGCGGGCGTTGACTGGGGCCCGGCGACGGCGGGCGAGCTGAGGCGGAGGCGGCTGCGGGAGGGACGGCTGCGGGACAGGCGCGCGGATGCGGCGATTCTGCGGTACAGCGAGCAGCTGGCTGTCTCGCTCGGGAACAGGCAGCAGCAGCAGCAGCAGCAGCAGCAGCAGCAGCAGCAGCAGCAGCAGCAGCAGCAGCAGGAGGAGCAGCAAGAGGAGCAGCAGGAAGAGCGGCAAGCTGCAAAGATCGCGACGTCGGCCAAGCGGCGTCGCATCGATGGTGCCAACGGCTCACCCGGGCTGCCGGGCGTGGCAAGCGGCCCGCAGGTGCGTCCCCTGAGGGTCCCCTGTGCCGAGGGGCGGTGCGTTTGGCCGAATCACTGACTTTTCAGCCCACCCTCTAGCTGCATGCGCCCGCCCGCGGCGAAGCGCGCAGGCGCTTCGAGCGGCGGCGCTGGGGCGTCAACACTCTCGTTCATTTCGCAGTCCCTGGGTTCTGACCCACCAGCCGCGACCCCACTCACGCACGCTGCGCCGCGCGGCGTCCCCCCATCGCCCCCAAATGACGCCGTGTCCACCGCCAGGGCTGGGTGTGCTTGAACCGCCAGGGTGCCCCGGGGCCGGAGGGGCGGGGAGACGCAGCGGCGCCCACGTGAGCGGCGGGGGCGCCCGGCTCCAGGCGGCGCGCTTGGCGGGCCCTTGACTCGCAGCGCCCAGAGCAGCCGCGCCGCGCGCTCTGCTGCCTGCGAGCCAGGACTCTACCCACATGCGGCTGCTTTGCTCACATTGTTGTCCACAATGCAAATGTGCCGCATGCTCATATCTTACCGTAAAGCCAGAGGCAGCGAACAGGTGTGATTCCACATCAACACCCGCTAGGGCGCCGACGAATCGCCCCTCACGGCGCCCCGCCCACGCGTCTTCCACCAGGCTGGAGGTCTGCGGCGCCGCCAACCACAGCCTCGACGGCGCGTGCGCGGCGTGCGGCGCGCCGCGCTGGGACGGGGCGGGCGGGCAGCTGGCCGCGCGCGTGGCGGCGCTGCTGCAGACGGCTGACCTTGAGGGCACGACGGGCAAGCAGGTGCGGCTCAACAATTTTGGCTGCCGACTCATCGCATTCTTTGGCAAGAATGATGGCCATGGGCGTGTTGTTGGAGGTTGGCGGTGGTGGGCAGTGCCAGTCGCCGCGCCCCGCGTGCAACGGACGCGCCGCCCCGCGGCGCGCGCCGTGCGCCGCGCGCCGCGCCGTCTCGTGGCGCCAGGCGGCGACGCGCGAGCGCCCGTCATTCGCCGCGCGCGCCTCCGCTGCCTGCAGGTGGCTGCTCGGCTGCAAGCCGAGTCTGGAAGCCTCCCTGATTGGGGGACGGCCACCCACCCCGCCATGCTGCGCGCGGCCGTGGCGGAAAACCTCTCGCGGCGCCGCCTGGCGCTGCAGCGACGCGCGGCGGCGGGGCCACGGAGGGAGGCTGGGGAGGGGGTGGGGCGGCGGCGCGGGGGCGAGGGGGGCGGCGCGGAGGGGCTGATGCATTCGGTGGGGTGCCCGGAGGAGGGCGCAGGGCTGCAGGCGGCACTGCAAGCGTGGCTCGAAGGACAGCGGCGCTCACGACAGCAGCAGCAGCAGCAGCAGCAGCAGCAGCAGCAGCAACAGCAAGCGGAGGAGCAGGCGGCGCTGCCAGCACCGTCCAGGCAGCCGCCCCGGGGTTCAAACCCGCCCGACACGCCCACGGGCGCTCCTGTAACACCAGGGGCCCCGGGTGGCGCGGCCCCCGCAGAGGCGCGCGGGCCCGGCGGCGCGCCGGCAGAAGCGGCGGCCGCGCTAGCGGCCGGCGCCGGCCTGCTGCTGCTGCGGCGGCTCTGCGTCGCGAGGGGCGCGGGGGAGGCGGCTGCGGCGGCGGCGATGGGATCAGACCTGGTAGAGGGGCCGGCTGTTGCTGCCGACCCTCAGCTAGCGCTGGTGAGCGGGTTGGTGGGAGACCCTGCTGTGCATGCTGGGCTGGGCTGGTCTGCGTCTCGCTGCGCAGCGTGGCGCTGCTCTTGCTGCGGTGTCACTGTGCTGTGCTGCGCTATGCCGTGCCGCGCTGTGGTGTGCTGTTCTGTGCTGTTCTGTGCTGTGCTGTGCTGTGCTGTGCTGTGCTGTGCTGTGCTGTGCTGTGTTGTGCTGTGCTGGGCTGCGCTGCGCTGCGCTGCGCTGCGCTGCGCTGTGCTGTGCTGTGCTGTGCTGTATCATGCCGTGCACCGCTGTGCCGTGCTGCATAGTGCCGAGTTGCGCGGGGGCGTCAGGTAGCTGCAAGCTCCTCTCATGCAACCTCACCGGCGCCTCTTGACCCCAGCGCCCCGCCCTTACTGCGCCACACCCGCCCCTGCCTCAAATGCTCCACTCGCCTTGAATCCCATGCCTGCTTTGCAGCCCCCTAGCTATTGGTGGGCGGGCCAGGAGCTGGATGCCGCCGTTGCAGCGCACCGACAGCAGCAGCAGCAGCAGCAGCAGCAGCAGCAGCAGCAGCAGCAGCAGCAGTTGCCGCCCGACCCCGGCCCTCGGATGAGCCACGCTGCCGCCGGGCCGCCCGAACAGGGCAGAGCGGAGGACGCCAGCGGCGCCGCGGGCCGGCTCGCGCCGCGCGCTCTGCGGCGG